GCCCTTAAAGGGGACAGGTTGCCTACTTCTGATCTAGATACTATACTTCTATTGAATATGCAGCCTAAAATTGCATTGGCCTTTTTAGCTGTGACATCACACTGTTGACTGAAGTTCAACTTGTGGTCTACTAGGACTCCTAGATCCCTTTCACACGTAGACTCGTTAAGCCAGGTGTCCCCCATCTTATATCTATGTATTTCATGTTTTTGCCCTAAGTGCAGTACCTTACATTTCTTCATGTTGAAATTCATTTTGTTAGCTTTGGCCCAGCTTTCTAATCTATTAATGTCATTTTGAATTTTCATCCTGTCCTCTGGGGTATTAGCTTTTCATCCTAATTTGGTGTCATCTGCAAATTTGAGAAGCATGCCCCCTACTCCTTCATCCAAGTCATTGATAAAGATGTTGAATAGCACTCGGCCCAGGACAGAACCCTGTGGCCCCCCACTGGTTACGTCTCTCCAGGATGAAGAGGAGCCATTGCTGAGCACCCTTTGGGTTCAGTCAGTCAACCAGTTACTAATCCACCCAACAGTTGTATTGTCTAGTCCACATTTTACTATCTTGTTTGCAAGAATATCATGGGAGACCTTGTCAAAAGCCTTACTGGAATAAAGATATGCTACATCTACCATATTCCCTTCATCTACCAAGAATCTACCAAGCTGGTAATTTTATTAAAAAGAGAGAGAGAGAGAGAGAGAGAGAGAGAGAGAGATCAGATTAGTCTGACTTGTTTTTGAGAAACCCATGACTTTTAGTGATTATGGCACTGATAACAGGGAAAATGTATTGTCAGACTGTCCAAGAAAATATTTATACCCCTGGTTATAGCATCTCATCTGAACTGAAAGTTGCTTTCTTGGTGTTCTAAATTAGATTATGAAAATGTTTTTCACATAGAATGATAGAATTAGTATTGGAAGGTACACCAAAGACCATTTAGTGAAATCCATTGACAGTATAGGAATTCAAAGCTAAAGCATCCCTGAAAGGTGGCCATTCATTTTTCTTTTCAAAAGTCTTCAGAAAGGACAGTCCACCACCTTCTTTCTTCCTTGGCCAGACATACCAAACACCCTCAACTGTTCCTCATAGAGCTTGGTTTTCAGAACCATTATCATCTTAGCAGCTGTCATCTAGATGCCTTCCAGTTTCCTTCATAAAATTTGTTGCCCAGAACTGGACATAGTACTCCAAGTGAGGTCTGATCAAAGACGAAACACCTGTCTGCTTCTGTCCTCTTGACTAGGGAGTCACCCACACCATTGCACATCTATTCTTTATCTAAGAAAGGTAGCAGTCATTGTGTCTTTAGATCCTTCTAAGGCCAGCCCCCCTCCTTCTAAAGACTTCAACTGCTGACTCTGATCAGTAGCCCAGAAACATTATCCAAGGGGAAAGCCTTGAATTGATTGCATGGAGTTCCAGAGACTCAGCACAATCCCAAACATTTCTGCTCTTCCATGTTACATTCTTCCTGATATTTTCTCATGTTTGGTAGTCTTGCTCATCTCCAGTTGCATTGTTATTATTTTGCTTTCCTAGATTGCCTGCTCTTCCAGCAGGATGACCACCTTCCGCTTGTTGCAGATACAGCATTCCACATTCTTGGCAAGAAATAACAAACATGGGACAGGTGTTGCAGGTCACTTCAGCAGTCTCTGGTGTATGCAGTCCTTGTGTGTGCAATTAGTGACACAGAAGTCCAGGGCTCCCTTTCAAATTCCCACTACATATCGACACAATATACAGTACAACCCTTGTATCAGCAGAACTGATATATGTGATTCCACTTATCCATGTCAAAACAACAACAACAACAACAACAACAACAAAACAACCAAAAATATCTCTGTAGGCATTTCCAAGGTCCTGCACTATGGTCATGTATTCTTTTTTGGGGGATGCTGATGGCATAACATATATATTATAGTAGATACCTATTGAACAATAATCCAAATTATTGTATTTTAATAACTATTGCTGCAAACAGATAATATATCTTAAATGTAGACAGTATCACATGTAGAGAAGAGATAGAGAAGTGAAATCAATGTGATAAATTGTTGTAGGCTGTGAAAAATTTCATGCTCTTTTGACCACTTCACCTGCCCACTGCTCAGCCACTTCAAGTTTTATTATTGTTGATATATTTCAAGAACTGTCAGGAAAATGTTACTGTCAGGAGAAACGTGAAGCCCACTGAAACAGAATAGAATTTCCAAATTGTGCCCATAGTTGTAATCACTAAATGACAATATGATTAGTTTGTTAGAAGACAGCTTCTGTGATTTCAAAACAATTCTCTTTAAAAACTGTTTGGTAACTGCATTACAATCAACTATTAAAAAGAGTGGTAAATGAACTGACACAGCTATTCTTAAAGCGAACTGTAAACTCAACAATCTACAAAATGTTCCATGCTTCGCAAACCTAGGAAAAGAAGACAAAATTTGATATGTAATACATGTAAGAGCCTTCTCCATAAAAGGGCTTTTGCATTTTAGTCTCTTTAATGAAACTGTTCAGTCTTTAGTTCAGAATTATTGAAGTTAGTGGGAATAAATGTTAGAAAAAGTAAGTGGATTAAGTCCTGTGGTATAATATTAAAAAAATAGAAAATAATTGGTAAATGTTTAGTAAAGTTATTTGTTATTTTGAAATTTTAATTGTAAAACATTTGATGTGAGAAGAACTTGTTGATTAGTGTTTTTGTTAAGGAAAACATAATTTACTTTTGCTCTCTCAGAATTGCATTTAAACTTTGCACTTCCGAGTAAAAATGTCTCAGAATTTGAACATCCTTTTACAATGTCAGCTGCCCTGTCTAACATCTTGACAAGTATAGCCTAAGTGTATGTTGGCTCAAATTCACCTCCAGAAACAGATCTTACTTCAAAGCTTTTAAGACTTGAAAAAGGTCTTGTGTATAGTTCATTAACAATAGGTCACATATCTTCAAAGATTCCTCTAGGGCCTCAGCCCTGTTAAGGAGATAACAATGAATGAGGGGATTTTATAGCATCAGAAGATAGGATTAAAAGAAAGAAATTTAAATGGAAAGGTAAACTTAATCCTATTTAAGAAAAATGCCTTAATTTATATTGGGCTTCCTCATTAGATGAAGCCTTCTCTGTTAAATGTAGAGTTTAAAAAGAATTCTAGGGTAGGAATTAACATTTATCCCATCTGAAGACTCTTTGAAAAATACTATTATTTAAAAATTCTCCAATAAGGTTGCTTTCTGAAAGGTTGCCTTCTCAAAATGGCTAAACAGTTTATAAACACCTTTGTTCTATTCACTGAATTTTATTTTATTAGACAAACATTCTCATCAACATTGACTGTACTAAATTGTTTAGAAAGAGTGACTTGCCCAAGGTCACCAAGTGGGTTTCCATGGCTGAGCAGGGATTGGAACCCTGGTCTCCAGTGTCATGGCTCAAATCATTACACCACACTGTTTCAATGGTAATATTGGCAATGTGGTAATAGATATTCAGCCTTCCAGAAGGACAGCAGGGAGAGGAGTGTTCTGTCCTGGGAAGGGGGTTTCTAGGGGCAGCCATGGAGAAGACTGTGCTTGTGAAGGTGATGGAACTGAGAAAAGGACTTCCCCTGATGATCTCAGGTTCTTGAACAGTCACATGCAGGGATATATGGTCAGCCAGACATCCTGTCTCCATCACATAACCAGGCCTCAAACCAGATTGAAATGGATCGATAATCTATTTGATCCAGGAACCCTTGGAGCTGGGAGGCTACCACATGCTCCAATACCATGCCTAAGAATGGTATGTTAGACACTAGCTGATATTTATCCATTATCTTGGGATCCAGAAATAGCTTTTTAAACAAAAGTCTCACAACTGTCTCCCTTAGGCAGGTTGGAACTCTGTCTTGTTGTAAGGAGGTATTAACTACCCCCTTCACTCACTCAGCCAGTCCTTTTCTGGGCTGTTTAATGAGCCAGTAAGGGCAAGGTTCTAGTACATACGTAATGACTCTCACCTCTCCAATGATCCTGTCCACATCATTAGGTTGCACAAACTGAAACATATTCATAACACTGGAAAAGCAGGAGCAAAGATACAGATACACAGCATCCACGTTGTTTAGCATTGCTGAAACCAATCTTTTCTTTATGGGGTGAAACAGATGGGCAGGAGGGAGCAGCCAGCCCAGCCACCCTGGTGCTGTGGCGAATATATGTGGTCCTGAGGGTGCCTGCTGCCGCAATGCCAAATGGAATGCTTCAGGTTTCAGTCCTGGGCCCTGTGTTGTATAAATGTAAATAATGTAATTAATAAATAATAAAAACAGTAAGTATTTTGCCCCCCCCCCAAAAATTCTCACACAGGATTTCAAGGATATGTGAGTGCATAAGTAGTTTCAGATATAACCTATTGTGTCCAAATTGATATGTAACACACTATTGGTCTAGTTAAGAAATTTCTCATTTGCATGTACCTAATTATTAATTTCACCATCCATTATTTTAATGAGGCTGAGTGGGGAGTTGAACCCTGATCTCTAGAGTGGAAATCCAATGTTCAAACCATTATACCACACTGGCTTTGAACTATCTATAGGGATCTTCAATATATAGCTTATAGGAATCTGTTATTTCACATAAATGTTTAGTTATACTCACAAATAATTTTAAATGTTTAAATTTATAAATTAGATTCACAAATAAGTACAAATATTACTAGCCTACAAAACTGCTTAATAGTCTGGTTGCTCAAAGGTAAATTTGAACAGCTTGTTCAATCTCAGTGCTGACATTTAGGTTTAGGAATTAGAACATCTTTTTGCTTCCATTAACTGGAAGCTACTACTTTAATTTCTTCAATACTGTTCCCCATCCCATCCACATGTAGTTTCTGAAATTTAGATTTCATTCCTGTGCATACTATGCAAATAACCTTTATAGTAAATTAATAATAATCTTGTTTTTATAGTTTTGAATACAGCGGGCACTTGTTCCAGAACCCTTCGTGGACACAAAATCTTTAGATGCTCAAGTCCCACTTAATACAATGGCATAGTAAAATGGTGTTCCCTATATAAAATGGTAAAATCAAGCTTTGTTCTTTGGAATTTATGTAATTTAAAAATATTTTTCAAGCTGTGGATGGTTGGATAAAAAAAAAAAATCAGTGGATATGAAGGGCTGACTATACTAGTTAAATTGAATTTCCTTGGCCAAAGAGAGATAGTATGATAGTGATGGATGTTTACCCAAGTACTAGATGTTTAATGGTGGCTCTAAACCAAAGCTATGTAACAATTTCAGACTTGCTGTAAATGAGGTTGGGTTATTGTCCAATAGTAGACTTTAAGTAGATGAAAAGAATCTGTCTTTTATGTCCAAAAGTACTGTATTCTGAAAAGTCATTGAGGATGCTTTATTTATTTATTTAATTTATAGCTCACCTACCTCTTTGTACAGAATCCAAGGTGGTTTACAGCATCTCAAAAAAAAACCACAACATAGGATACAGTTAAAACATTATTTATACAAAAAATTTAAATGAAAGTAACATTAAAAACAGAAGATTAAACATACAAAATATAAGTAAGAGTTTATATAGACTGGCAAGAATCACCAGCATTGGGGTGGAATCGGGGTGTGGCAACCCCACGCCGTATGCCCCAATTCTGCCTCAATGCCAGTGTCACACCACCCATCCTCACAATATTTATGCAGCACAGCGTTTAGACATGCTGCGCCAAAGAAACAGGGGGAAAAAGCTGCTGACAGTCGCAGTGGCAAGGGCAGCTTTTTTCCATTCCTAAAAGGAGTGGCATTTTGCCACTTCTTTTGGGGGTAGAAAAACATTGGATTGGGGCTGCGGTGTGCAGTTGCCATGGCCCCAATCCAGAGAGCAAAGGAATGGCACAGGGTCTGCTTAGCCTCTGTGACATAATAAAAAGGCTAAAAACATGTAACGATCATTTCTAATTTCTTTCCCTACACTATCACCTATCTTCCTATTCAAATACAACTATGTACTCTGCTTAATGCCCAGACTGGCATTAATTCACCTTTAGAAGAAGTAGCAGAAGGTGCTTTAAAACTGAAAACACTTTTGAAACTCTTTTAATTGTATTATTGTATTTTAACTCTTCAATAGTTTAATTTTGCTTTAATGGGGTGGGAGGGTTAGATTGCGGGATGAGGGAATGTTTTTAACTTTGTATGTTTTCATATGCTGTAATCCACCCCGATTGCCGAGCAGAGGAGCAGGCTATAAATAAATTATTATTATTATTATTATTATTATTATTATTATTATTATTATTAAATAAGAGGCATGTCGATTGTCCATTATAGGTCTGCAGACTATCTGCAGCTATGTTTTTCACTGTTCCAATATCTTCAGTATCCACAGCTTCCAAAGCAAGGCAGCCATGCCCCTCCGTCTCATCCCACTGCTTCCCCAGTTGGCTTTCTTCATTCTGGTTGGTCAGAGGTGTGCAAGAGCAGACTTTCCCTTGGGCTGTTCTATCTGATAGACCAATATCTAAAACATTTAAAATTATCAAATATACAAATAAGAATCCCAATATTATATCAGAGCCATCAGAAAAATAAAATGTCCCTTATCTCCCAGGTAAACAGCAAGATTTAATTTGGTGTGCATCTGCACTGCAGAAATAATCCAGTTTGATACCACTTTAACCATCATGGTTCATTGCTATGGAATTCTGGTATTTGTAGTTTGTTGTAGCACCAGAACACTTCCCAGAATTCCATAGCATTAAGCTATGGCAGTTAAAGTGATATCAAACTGGATTACTTCTGCAGTGCGGATGCAGCCTTGGTAACAAAAGTCCAGCAACATACTTGTTGAACTAATAGTCACCTAAAGAACTGGTTAAAACCTAGCATGTTTAATCCCAGGGAGTGTTTTTCCATATTTTGGTTCATTTGTATTAGGCATGCTATGTTTTACACACTGAATGAACACTACTGGCAGATTACTTCTTTGGACCCTGAACTCTTCACCATAATCTCAATGTGCTTGAAAGATCTGGAGATCTCTGGAGCAGATTTGAGAAGAAGAAGGCCTGCTACACAGAGGGACAGAAAGGCAAACTTATTTTGTATAAACAAACGTTTTCTCACATGACATTGGATTCAACCCATTAAAAACTGCATATCCAAGGTTATTCTCATGTTTATGGCATGTCCTGTGTCTGTTTTTACTGAGATTCTAAGTGCTCTAAAATCCATATCTCCAGTAATATAGATAGATGGATGGATGGTGCATTGCCATGCCTACTCATGAATAACTCTTCACAGAACCCCAATTTTATTCTCCATCTTTCCAGGCAAATGGCTCTGCATAATAGGTTTGAGAGATGCCTCTGCTTCAGGAGAGATACATTGCTTTTAATATAACACAGGATTCTTTTAAATGTCCCAGTGATCTGACTTGGGGTCCATTATGTTTTTTATGCTTGGGATTCATTATGCATTAATATTAACTTTTAGTATTAATGTGGTGTTTTAATTATGTTTGAAAATAACACTGTTTTATTGTTGTCATCTTAAAGCATCTTTTATGAGCCACCTTGGGTCTAATTTGGGAGAAAGGTGGCATATAAATAAATAGATAGATAGATAGATACTTTCTGTACAAACATAGAAAAATTGTGAACAGTACTTTCATAACAGGTACAGAAAATCAAGAATGAGAAACAGGAAATATAATAATAATAATAATAATAATAATAATAATAATAATAATAATAATAATAATAATAATAATATGGTTTATTTATATACCGCCCCTCTGGCTAGCCAATCTAGGCAGTGAACAACAGTAGTACCTTAATACATTACAACAAATTAAAAAACAATAATACAATAATACATTACAGCAAGTTAAACAATATCCTTCCCTCCTCCCCAAACATCAATAATACAATAATATATTACAATAATACAATACAATAATACAAACCAATAATAGAATAATACATTACAGCAAGTTAAACAATATCCTTCCCTCCTCCCCAAACATCAAACAAATAACAACATTAAGATCCCATCCCCTTCCTATCCCCCACCCCCAAAACAGATCAACAAACAAATTAAAACAGTCATTATAAAAATACAATGTACATAATTGGGGTTATAGACTCTCCCCAGTCTCTCCCATGGAACAATGGTTTAAAAAGAGGTATTAATAGGGACATATTTAAAGATAATTAATATTTTTAATCAGACTATACTAATATTTAATAGGAATCATTCTTTTTATTTAATAATATTCATTTCACATTTCATTAGTTAAAATAAAACATACATACTGTTTATCATCCAATCAAAACATATGACAATATAAACCACAACTTAACAAAATAACAACATTACAACAACAAAAATAACAACCATTCACAAATATTAACATATAACCAATAAACAATAACACCTCTTCCCCCCCCCCCCAACACATTCTTCATCATTTTCATACTTCTTAAAAAGACTTCCTCCCTTTCTAGAGTTGGTTATTTATTGTTCTCTCAGCCTCCCACTCCTGTTTTTACTCTTTCTACCTCAGTCTTGGAACTTTGCTTTCTTAGCTTGTTAATACTCCATGTAATCACATGCCTAACTTCTTAATCATGGTTACACAACTTGTATTTCCTCTCTGTTTTTCTTTTCTTATTTCTTATTTCTTTTTATTTTTTCTGTTTTGATGTTATCCTTTCCAAATAGCCTTCCAATTTTCCCCATTCTTTCTCTTTCTCTTTTGAGTTTTCGTATCCTTCTACAAACCAGTAAAGTTTATCCACATCCATCAACTCAATTAAGTATTCTTTTGTTGGTATCTTTGGTTCCTTCTACCATATGTTATTCTCGCAGGGGTTATCATATACAAAACCAATTTTTTGTTATCTCATTTATTCATTTAGTCATGTATGTCATGAATGACAGCTTTTTTTAAGCTGTTATAAAGCAATAGATACCTCCATTAAGGATCCTAAAGCCCTGTTTCAATTTGTTGGTGGCAACTTTCAGAATGTCAGCTTATTTTGTGTCAAATGTATATTGGCTCCTGCAATAAATCACTAATGGAACAGCCAGCTTTTTATTTCTACAGTAATGCCACAACATTGATTAATGTGGTTCTTATAATGGAACAATGGTCAATGTTCATATGAGCACGAAAAGCTCTTCCAAAGCAATAGCTAGCATTGTCCTGCATGATGAATCTTATTTAGAAAAATGGTGTGTCTGTGTAGGTGGGTGGGTGCTTTTCTGAACCTCAGCTAATTGATTAACACAGTTTTATATACCCTGTTCTTTGCCTAAAACTGGAACATAATTAGAGCCTATGGTTACTGTGGCACTAAATTTCATTTTTGACAATTTAAGCAGGTGCACATGGCACCCAGCATACAAAAATGTGGTAAGAAATGCAGCAGAAGAATTTACACTTTAATTAGTAATTAAATTGTAAAAGTATAAATCTCTTTGTGTTCAGGTTAAATGGTTTGTATTTAAACATTAGTGTCTCAGTTTCAGTTATACCTTAAGATAGGAGCAGGAAACAATAT